TGATATGATAAGTATGATTTTATGGTACGTTACTAATTTTGAAGATTTTTTTTTTAATCTAAGTAGTTTTGTGAAAATGGAATGTTTGGATTTTATTCACTGTTCTCATGGTTAAAGTTAAAGCAATTTTATTACATGACTATGTCGAGTTTCGAACTTATCACGTGTCACGGTTGGAAATGTGGGAGTAAAATAAAAAAATGACATGTTAGATGATACGATATATTTGTCAAAAAATACCTATCAAAAACCTCTAAAAAGCTATAAACAGCAATCGCAACACAACAATATGCTGAGTCAAACAGAAGTAACAGGATTCTTGCAGGCGATAGATGAGAAGAACTAAAAGACTTTTCATACAAAAGGTGTCACAAAATGTTCACAAAGAAAAAAGCACGTTTAATGCCACCAATGAAGTGTGCGACATGTAGGTAACTTACGTTAACGAACATGACGTCAGTGTCAGAGAGGTTGGACCTAAGGGAGGCGCGAGGGTCGCGGGGGTCGCGGGGGTCGCGGAGAGCGGCTCTGTTGGTAGTGATGGAGCCGCTCTCGTCGGCCGAGCAGTCGGAGGACTGCGCCGCCTGCACACCGCCACCACATTACCAATGCAAACTGTACCACGACTCGGTAACTTTTTGACCGTAATTCAAATACGATTTGTATGAGTATATTGATAGATATTTAAAGTAGATAGATTTTTTTTTAAAACAACTGCTAAACGAATTAAATCCAAAAGGGGGTGTATCCATTTTAACAACGTTACCGGCTTTAAATGTCCAAGAAAGTAATGTTTTATAAATGTTAGAACTTCAGTTCCTTTAATGACACGAATTAGTTAAATTGGCAACTGGTATTAACTAGTTAAACGTGCAAAAGCTTTTACTTTTAGATATATACAGGTAATAGAAAGCCTTGAACGCTGAGATGAGTTGCAAAGACTTTTTTTTTAAATAACATCGAGAACGAATCTGACAAACTTCAGAAGGGCAACATGCGACGACATTACAACATCAATTCTTTTACATTTGGTAATATCATATTTTTACTTACATCTGAATCAAATGAGGTTAATTTGCTGAAGAGAAGATTTCGTTTTTGATTCAACATATCTTTGAACATGTCCGTGGTGCTCTGCGTTTCTGTGTCCATCTCCGGATAGTTTAAAACTGGCATATCTAAAATGAAGATTTACCTTTAAATCAAGGATAACAGTTGTAGAGCCCGCTTTAACATCTTCGCACGAATAGGTCGGCTCGCCCCCAGTAATACCACGACCACACAGAAAATAGGCGTGAAGTGGAAGCAATTCCGCGTTTGGATTTGGATGGACGGTTTTAAGTATACTAACCGGTTTGGGAGCTCTTCCTGGAGGAGGGCGTGGAGGGCGTGTCGTCGTGGCGGTAGTCAGCGAGCGCGCCGCCCAGCGCGCCCGCGCCCTGCTCCAGCCCCGCCACCTCCTTGCTCCAGTAGTGCGTGTGCGCCATCTCCGTCACTTGGAACACGGACGCCATGCCCCCCAGCCCGAAGTTGGAGTACGTGTGCTCCAGCCCGTGCACCACGGCCTGCAGCACTTTCAGCATCCCCTTCCACACTGGCTTGCTCACGAACTGACAATTCGACAGAAAAAGAAAATAGAGTTAATAGTCCTTGAACTGAGTTACAATTAACTTAATACCGATTTAACTCACCACATCATCGACTTTATCGTTAGGCGTCGTTTTTCTGTTGAAGTTCTTGTTCAGTTTGCTGAGCACCATGTTCCTGTAGGACTCGTCTTCCATCAGCTTCTTGAGTCGGTTTAGTTTGAGCCAGCCCACGCCCTCGCCCTCCAGGACGTGCTGGACCAGCTGTCAATATAATAAACGTTTAAACAATGCCTAGTG